TTGGTGTTTGGGCATCCAACTCTTCTCCCTCCACTCTTGATTATATTGAGAAGTTTTCTAAACTCTATTTCTAGCTTTTATATATATTTGATTATCATTGTTATTAAGCTAGAACTACATTGAGTTTAGTTTTGATTTATATCTCTTTGTTCACACACAACCTTTTGAGCTTATTGTATTTACATTCATAGTATAATTTGGGGTTGTGGGTTTGTGACTAAGAGTTGTGCTTAATTGAGTTCTCACCTTGTTTAGAGAACAATCAATTGATTTATATTGTGCTTAATTGTGAGGATTCACTTGTAATACACTTGTACACCGAGAGAAGTGTGTGGTGAGAGACGGGGTCGAATCCAAGAGGAGTGGCGTCGGTTGACGTGCCTAGGGAGAGGTTGTAACCGAGCACTTGAGGGAGACACGGCTAGGTCCAACACTTAGTGGGTGTAGAGTGTGATTGCAAGAGTATGAGTTGTAAAGTTTTCAGTTAGCTAGAAAACCGAGTGTGTAGAAGAAGTTCCGGCTTCCAAACCGGATTGTGTTAGTGGATTTCTCCCCGGGAGTGGGGAGCGGAGACGTAGGACGGAAGGTCCGAACTCCGTGATCATATCTTGTGTTTGAGTGTGCTTTGGCGTTTATTTATACTTGTGTTTATATTTCTTATCGCCATTGTCATTAGCTCATTATTTATATGATCCACTATCTAGTTCACATTGTTTACCCCTTGTGTTAGTTTATATATCCTTGCATATATATATATTTCATCATATAGGATATATCTCATTGTTTACATTGCTTATCCTAGCTCATAATTCTTGTGGTATTTCATACTTGCTAGGATAACTTGTTAATTAGTTTTTAATTGGCATTTAATCGGATTAGATTAGCATAAGACCCTAATCACCCCCCCTCTAGGGTCTAACAATTGGTATCAGAGCTTGGTGCTCTTTGATTTAAGGTCTAATCGCCTTGAGTTAAAGATCCAAGTTAGCTTATTGTGCTAATCTAATTTTGAGCTTTATTTGTATCTTGCTTGCCTTTTATATTATGGATATGCATGGTTTAGGTTATGCCATCAATATTGCTCCTAGATTAGATAATTTCCCCTATGCCCAATGGTGTGTTAGATTTAAACTTTTTGTTCAATCTAAACACTTTGATTTATGGGAAATTATAGATGATGCTTATATTGTGCCCATTTTGGAGAAATCCAAGTGGAACAGAAATGATCATCGCATGTTTACCATGAACAACATTTTGTTAGAATATTTGTTAAATGCTTTTAACTCATCTATGTCTAACAAGTTTGTTCATTTTGATAGTGCTTACAAAGTTTGGAAATTTATAGAAGCACATCAAGGGGACTTGGAGGCGATCCAACAAGCTTTGGAGAATCTAACTTCAAGTTCATACGGAGCAACATGCACACGGCCACTAGGCGATAGCCCTAGTGAGGTTTGCGAGTTCGAACCCGATAATGATTTATCTAGTGATGAACTTGCTTGTGCTAGTGAAAAATTATTGCATGCCTATAACAAATTACATAAAAATTTTATTGATTTACAAAGCAAGCATGA